GGCTCTGGTCCTGGTTATTGAAATATATTCCAAGTGTGGTTTGGAACCAGAGGCTCGATGGACCAAAACAGTATGATTTTTAGTTTTGCTACATAAGATGAATTATTTGAAATAAATGTTTTGGTGTTCTTCACCCTGCATTACATAAAGGGGAACCTCACTAGACATTCATGTCTAACCCTCATTTTGTGTTTTCAAAATTATGTGTGCAGGTAAAGATAATAAGGGAAAGAGCATTATGTGAATTACTTCCCTATGTGCTTAGTTGTTTTGGAAGCATAGATGCTTGATTAAAAGAAGCATGTACTTTTGAAATTTTTGAGTGGTGTAATTCACATTAAAGACTTTTGTATTATGGACCTATGTGGGAGAAGACATGTATAATATATGTGTTATATGCAATGTATGGATTGGGGGTGTTACACAAGTGTAACATATATTATCGTTAAATCTTATTTTATAAAACCAGTAGAACTTCAAAATCGTTAAAATTCATGGCTCCGCCGCATTGCGCGGGTACACAACTAGTATATATATATATATATATATATTGATTTTTTTAAATGTCTAATATAAGAAAAAGACCATATTGTCCCTATATAATAAATGTGTGTTTCATTATGCATTACTTTTTTTTCATAAATTTACATACATCTTGAACCCTAACTCACCATATGCTCATAGTAACCTTCTTAGCTTCATTCTCTTAAATGTATTTTGCAATTTAGGTTAACTCCCAATTTTCCATATACTAATAACCTTTGTAACTTCTTTTGCTATTAAATTGTGGCTTTCTCCTTTCTTAATTTTGTTTTTTAAATACATCTTGCAATATAGGTTAAGCTAATACTCTCCTATGAAGTATGTGAGGCCAAACAATCTCTAATGAAAACCCCTGCCCCTCTAAAGGTCTATTGCTTTTTGATTGTATAGTAAGCATACCAAGTGTATCCACTTCAACACCAACTTTCTATTTGATCATGTTTCAAATATACAAGAATTATTTTAGTTCTTTTATGCATACTGCTAGATACCCTTTTCATATAAGTGTAAGTAAGAAGCCTCTTACTCTAGTCAATAAGACTTGTTTAAGAAGTTGCCTGGAATAAGAGCTCGGATGCAAAGGTCACCAAGAGACAGAGCTACTTGGTATAAAGTAAGTACCTCGCATACAGAGCATGTGCACAAGCAAAGGAATTGATACAGAGCTATCATTCCAGACACAGAGTCTCTGCACTATACATGCAGAGCCTCTGGTCTCCTTCGCCCTTAACTTGCGCACAAAGCTTCTAGCGCATCTCCAAGTATTCCAACCAGAATCTGACACCATACTAAAACAGTTCCACTTTTCAAGGAACATGAAGGCTGAAGATTCTGGACTCAAAGTGGGAGTTTGAAGCCTAGAATTTAGCAGATTCTGTTTTGTAAATGGCATATAAAAAGAGGTCTCCTCCTTAGATTAAAAGAATCCCGAATTGCCATATTATTCTAGATTATCTCCTGCTTGAGAGAATACTTTTGAGAATTAGATTATTGTTGAGAGTTCATTTATAACCTTCTTCAACTAATCAAAACAGCCGACTTGTTCAATTCATATTCTTATTCTTATTTGAGTTCTGATCAAATCTGCTAACCATTTCAAATATCATAGTTGTAGCTTCCACTCGCACTTTAAGCTATGATTATTGATACATTAGAGGATTCTAGGTTCCTACACATACCAATAGTTTCAATACTCGGTAAGCAAATAATATTGGGGTAAACATCATTTGCTGGATTAATTGAGAGTGTTAGTTTTATATTCTTACAAACCTTTAGCATTTGAATCCCTTCATCAAAATTCAAATGTAAGTATCAAGGTATTCTGCAAGTACTATACATTTAATAATATCAACATTGAATCATGAAGATATGTGATGAAAAATTTACTCAAATTCTTTTATTTCACAAATGGAAGAATAAGAGTTTAAACTACTTTCAAATGCTTGAAGGGACAATGATTCCTAATAGCTCTAACTCTTTTTGGCATCTTTGATTCAAATTATCAAACATTTTAACAAAAGGACGGTCCATGACATACATCACCTGTATGGATCCATTAATCTTTTTATCCTTCAAGTCTCGAAGGGGTTGACATCTTTATAAGTGAAAAGAATGTTTTTTATATGTGATTTTGTCTCTAAATTGCACCCTTTTTAAGGAGGGAAAAAGAGAGAAACAATGTTCTACAGAGACAAATAGATAAACACTGTGTTTCAAAATAGATCTCTACCTCTGACGGTCTTTTCAACAAATTGCATCACCCCAGAATCTTCAATAGCAAAATTTAATGCCTTTGCCACCAAGAAGGAAACCCAAATTTTGTTTTATTTTTTTACTTTTTAGTGTTTTGGTTTAGATAGAAGGTTTTCTTTGGATTTAAATTTTTGATTTTATATAAGTATTGTACTACAATTTTTGACTGAATTTGTTATATATGTCCTTGATATTCATTCAAATGTTTTTGATGGATTAGTTTTGCAAGATGAAGATTTGACAAAAGGATACCTACAAAATAACATTAATGAGCGATATTTAAATGTCCTCTATTTAATTAGAGTTAGAAAAAGTTGAACGGTTGTTAGTTGGTGGGACAAATGTAAATAGTTAGAATGAAGGAAGTTTATTAATGGACAATACCGAAAATTACTCTTATATTTATTTTGTGCAATTATATTTTGTAACAATTATAGCATAATTAATAACGATCATGAATGTAATTTTGGTAATATCAGTTAGAATATGTAAAGCGTCCCTATATTAATTTTATTATCGTAAACAAATAATATTTATGAACAACACTATGAAAGCTTAAAAGTGTCAAGTGGTCTACTTTGGATGGTGACATTGAGATTCATACTTGGACTGGTAGTAAGTCTCAAATAAAAGGAAGATGTTGATACTTAGTTAACCAATGTTGTTTATCGTTCAGGATAAATAAATATTTACCAAGGTAATTTCCTAGAAAAAATTTGCATAAAATAGTTCACAAAAATTGAATTCGCATCTTTGACAATTGGAATTGAACACTCAACTTCGTTATTTTATTTTTTATTAACCTGGATATCCAACCCGCTATGCGAGCCGACTAATTCCAAGGCGACCACCTACTTTGCAGATAGCCCGGAGTCACCGCACTTGAACCTCTGTGGCCGCAAGGAGATTTTTATTCCTCATTGGATTTAAGTCTGAGACCTCTAGATACTTTTGACCTTTGGAGCCAAACTCAAACCAATCAGGCACCACCCTTATGGTTCAACTTCGTTATTTGGTTCAAGATAAATGTCTTTTCAAAAATAAAAAACATTCACAAAAACTAATTTTTTTTGCTTAGATATTTGAATCTTATTCAAGAAAATGTATAAATGGTACTTGAATCAAAAAAGTTCTCTTTTTTGTTCGAAAACATGTCAACCAAGAGAAATCGACATCATTAGCTATATTACGTGGTTTATTTGATTTTAACTGCACTAGGGTGGCTATATGGACAAGAAATTATAATAAAAAAATTACTATAATATATATTTTTAAATTCATGTAATTATTTTTCCCTTACTCAATTAACTAACTTTATATGATTTTTTATTATAGTTTTTTTTTTTTACGTACAACTTATTTCAAAATCGGTTTAATGAAATAGGTTGTAACATGGCTGTTTCTTCTTTCTTTTTCTTTCCTTCGTAAAAAAAGTTTCAAGAACGCACCATGAAGGTTGAAACGACACCGACTCGGTATTATCGACCACATCCGTTTCGTTAAAATTACGTTTACCAACAATATTCTTATATTTCATCTGTCTAAACATCGCCCAGAACACACAATCCATTCGTAACAATAATTAAAATACAATCAACTTATGATGATCACAGCCTGCAACCATCTGTGTGTTTTAAGTAGGCATAACAGAACCGGTGTTAACCTGTTTCTGAAACACCCGAACCACCGGCATCCCATCGGTTCCATCGTCTTTCACTCTCCATGCTCGGTCCTTCTTCCTCTGTGGCTTCTTGTGCTGTTTATGAGCTGCAACAGAACTCGAACCCGAAGCCGGACCTGCCTTTTTCCTAGCACCTGATACCCCTTTACTCGAACCTAACCCATTAGCCATATCGAAAGAATTAAGGTCATCCAACACCTCCTCTAGCCTTGCTCCACCTTCTCGTTCTTCTTTGGTTTCCACACAAGAATCCGATTCATCGGTTCCGCTAGCATCGGAACCGGGTTCGTCAGCTTCGTCGTCTGACATGTCCGGCGGCATTTGGTAATGTGGCAGCTTTCCTTCGATGTAATCTTTCAGAATTTGACGAGCGGCTTTCGTTTCATCGGGTAGTCCACTTGAGGCCACATAGCCACGAGATGCACAATACGCCCTCAAAAGTTCCGATGCCAGCGGCGGTCGGTTTTCTGGCTCGTACGGCTTCGGTTTCGGCAGTGTGATGTTGTAAATACCCTCGACGACATGTCTTGGTACTCGGTCGGCAACCACCTGTACGGCTTCCCGGTGCTCGGTCATTCGGTGAATCGGCAAAACCCCTGATGCAATCATCTGGTATCTCGAGCTCGTGAACGATGGAAACACCAATCCAGGACAATCACACAAAGTAAGCTTTTCAGTAATTATCAGTGTCTGAAAGTGCTTGGTTTTTCCAGGAGTAGAAGTCACGCCCGTCCGTTTGGCACCAACCAAAGCGTTAATCGTCGAGCTCTTTCCGACATTTGGATAACCCACGAATCCCACGGTTACGTGTTCGGATTTTGCACCAACAGATGATTCTCGATACGGATTTTCCATACGATTGGAGCGTGAGTTGGTCCTCATTAGAACAATTTCTTCTGCTTCTGACTGTAGACGAGCCAATAGTTCCTCCCTGCCATATATTTTGATCTCATCATCAATGATACCATTGGTTTCTAAAGAAGAAACATGTGTTTTGCCTTCCAATTCCGTAGTTGCAACTTTAGCTGACCAAAAGACGTAAAGAATAGCATGAAGCCGGAAGTATTTAGCCCATTTCAGTCTGCAAATGAACCCAAAGATAAGGTTAAAGGAGCAGAAGGCATATTGTATACACAATCAGCTGTAATTTTCTTTTGGGTCGTCCACAAGAAAAACAGACTTTTTCAACTGCATGACCTTGAGACAAATTTTGAGGCACCCTTGTGTTAGAAAAAGACATTAACAATCTGTTAGAATGTAATGCATTTATATTTAAATAAATAAAAAAGAACATTTTAAGCATCTAACACCTTACGGCCTGATTAGTCCATGACGTCAACGCAAAGGCGTTGATAAAATTGGTTTTATAAACTCACTAACCTAACGGAATACGGTAAAAGATCCGCCTTGTTGATCAAGAGCAGTGTCCTTTTATGCTCATCTATTTCTCTAGCATATGCCTGCATTTTCACACACACGATTCATCAGTAGTTTCATGCAGTAAGTAATATGCAAAATCATAAAAAAAAAAAAAAAAAAAAAAAAAAGAGAATAATGTAAAAAAAAAAATTACCTCAAGGTCAGGACAACGATAAAAGAGTGGATCTCGTGCATCAACAACCATGACCAGCTGAAAACAATCACACAAGTTAGTCATGTGAAACATATAAAAGTATATGCTAATAAATAGAAAGAGGAAGCAAGTATCAATTCAGCTTCTAATTGGAATGACTTCTTACATTATACATACATACATACATACATACATACATACATACATATACCAGTGTCATTAATCTACCAACTGAAAGGTTTATCAACAATATGAACAAACACGTGTTTCATCACATTTAAGCCAATATCCCATGCAATGAAGGATCGTGTGAGAATAAGAATTAAAGTGAGAAGCGTAAGAAGGGATCTGGACCCTTGATTACTTTTGATCTTCATTTAGGATTGATCGATTCCTTCTCACCATAACTTCTCCTTCTTACCCTTTTCACCATAACTTTCATTCTCACCGTGACCCAACCCCATACCATGCACATCCTAATTGTGAGGATCTGAATATACTGTTACACCAAAAGGCCAAAATATTCCTAACAAAGTGGACAACTCTCTGTTACACCAAACGGTTGATCCCTAACCAAGTGAACAACTCTCTCTCTCTTGACACTCACTCCAACAAAGAACGTTGATGTCAACACGGTTTCTATGTATTTATGCTTCTTGAGGGTGGTTGACCCTTGCCGGCCATTTCTCCCCTCCTGTGCAGCCAGTAGGCAGTAGTACCTTCTCCAGGTAAAGATAAGAAGTTTGTAAACATAGTCATCTAACTAAAATATTCAAGTGGAGTGTGGGAGTACTCAAAACCATGAAGATGTTGAGATGGTCGATAGTAAGAATTTTGGTGATGGGGGTCGGAATTTTTTAATCCACCATTGTTAACCATCAAAACTCAAATTTATGTTCTATAATGTTTTAATGTAACCTCTCATTTGGTAGCATAAAATGAATCACAATAGCAACACATTACGGCTCGTAAAAAATTATAATGCAAGAGACAAATTTTAATGGTGTATATCATACAAACATACTCTAAGACGTGATTATTAATATTAATATATGGTGATTTTGATTATAAAATAATTAAATTAACTAACAAACATGACAGGTTACAGAAACATGCCGAAACTCAAATCTAAATTTTGGCATGTACCGAAGTTTAGGGTTAGATTTGTTAGTTTCACCTCCTACTCGCACATTGTAATTTTGTATATACAAATTATTAATTAAAATTGTAACAGAAATTTAAAAAAAAATAAAAATAAACAAAATGTAAACAATCAGGTATCAACTAAGGAGGACCCCTAACCCTAAAGTTAACAATCAACAATTAGACATCAATTAACAAACCCTAACCCTAACCCTAACAATTAACAAAAAGTTAACAATTAACAAAAAGTTAACAATTAGACATCAACCAGCAAACCCCAACCCAAAAATTAACAATTAACATCTAACAATAAACAAATAAATATTACTAGGCTTTAGATTACAGAGCAAATCTTTTATGGAACTTGGCTAAATTTTTCATGGGGTCAAACCTTATTCTTTCGAGGATCAAAACAATAGTTATATATATAAACAATAAAACTTGTAAGTATAAAAACAAAGTTCTTTTGACCTCCCTACGGCATGCATCCGCCCTTGCCGGTAGGGCGGCTATACCTCTAACAACATTTTGCATTCCATACGTTCAAACCTTTAATTAATTTAGTTAATGCTATATTAGGGCCGATAATAGAATTAGTATAATAAGCAATCTGCATCAAAATATGTGAATCAAGTGTTTGATGTCGAGGGTATTTCTGAGCCAACGATAGCTGGTCCATCAAATGTATTATTAACAAAAAACCTTAAGTGGGAATTTCTCCATGAAGCCATTAACCCGAGTAGTTTTACATTCTTAAGTACAAAAAATTCTAGAACTATTAAGACGCACACAATCCGGCATCCAATATACTAACAATGTTCTCATTGAGTTATGCTCCTATTAGAGAGAATAAACAAACACTCACCAGATCGCTACGTTCAACAACCCTCCATAGTTGTCTCCATATATCCAGATTCTTCTCAAATGGTGTAAGAACAAGAGTATCATTCTCCTCAAGCCTGCAACATAAAGAGTTTTAGAATAAGAACTCGCCAACCATATATTTGTTACCCAAGACACAACTAGCACATGAAAATAGAGTGACCATGTTTATCATAAGAATATTTATGTTGGTAAGCAACAATAGTACCGAAGATTAGAAAAAGTATCATTTTTTCACATGTATATTGATCCTCATTTAAAGAATATAGACGTCTATAAAGTCATAGGATGCTACAAGTAAAAACTTAATAATTCAACTGAAAGGAAAAAAATACAACCTTGCAAGGCTACGCCTCCAAACTAAAAACGAACGCCTTTCATTGGCATCAAGCTCTTCAACTGACATTTTGGCATTCCATGTTGGTCTGAATAAACAGAAAGATGATGGGTTAGAACTAGAAAAAGAAAAATGCAAAACAATAAGAAGGAACATAATTACGAAACAGTAATAAAAGGTGCATACCTCCTTGGAACACTAAGACTACTAGCATGCAAAGCCTCCTCTTCCTTTTGATGCTTTCTCCTTTCCTCAGGAGTCATATCACTGGTACTAGAACCGGACTCTCTATGCAGTCAAAAAAACAGCTGTCAGTTACAACACAAGATGACAAGAAATAAATAGTAGATGATGAAGTTATCTACAAATGCTTATGAATTGAATACCACAAAACTTAGCCAAGTTAAATGTTCATTATTTTGTTATCCGTAATGAGGCTTCAATAAACGAATGGAAGAATAAATTGTGTAAATGTGTGTTAACTACAATTAACCTTTTAACAGGCACATCAAATTTAGTGACTAAATAGAAATTGCTCTTGTATAAAACAAAAATCACACAAGAAGCCCAAAATTACTATATGGATCTAAATACTAACAAATAACACACCATCACAAACTAGGTTGGATAGCTAAAAGTTAACATAGCAAAACTTGAGAGAAGAAGACCAAAAAGCCAAGAGTATGGAACATGAATAGCATGCATCCAAGCTGTCTTATATAAAGCCAACTCCTTGAATATATTGCATTACTTCAATCCACATACGAATATGGGCCTTCGCCTTCCTCTCCTAACCCTCCTTTCAATACAATTATCGGTGCGCATTTACAAGAAATGTGACAAGCATCTCAATTCTTCTAGATCAGGGTCACTTCTCAACATTCGTATTTCAGCTACCATCATTTTGCATTCAAGTTGTCATTAGTTGCTTGATATGCTATCTTATAAATTATAGAAGCCTTATTGACATATATAAAATTAGTCCTACTAATTTAGTACAAGTATGTGATCACGGAAGGCTATCGATGTGAGAAGGGAAGTTATTGGGAGAAACGTAATAAGAGATCTGGACCCCTTGATCACTTTAATCTCGTACCCACCCACGAATTGCGCTTTAGAAGAGAATCGACCCGGGCACTTTAGAAGAGAATTGGTCCGGTGCATCGGCGCAACTCATTAGTGTTGACATTCAATAAACATTGATCCCCTCACATCGGAACCCAACCTTATATAATGATATATAACATTGTCATGCCTTATAAAAAAGGGCCATGACTCCTGAAGCTTGAGGCTCAAACTCCTATTTTAAAGCCTTGCATATGACTAACATATCATCAACCAATCCCCCTTTCGAAATATCGACTAACTATGCAAAATATGACTAACATCTCCATCTAACATGCCCTTTACTATAAATAAATAAACCATACTTTGTTCAATAAGACAAGGGAAAAACAGATGTTTTATTGAAGCAAACAAATAAAAAATCAGAATTATAAGATGGCTAAAGAAGGAAAAGGCATACAAATCAATAAGGGTGTTGACGGCGGTGGGGTTATCGGCAGAGAAGAGACGCACAGCCTCGTCGGCTTGTTGGATAACGGCGTCAATATCGTTGACGTCGGTGATGGATTCAAGGACCTTCTTGTGCTGTTTATAATAAAGCTGACCCTTTTCCTTAGACTCTTGAATCATATGGTTGTGATGTTTCACTAGGGCTCTTCCCAATCCTGCTTTATCGTTTTTCCCCATTGGAGGCCGTTGATCAGTGCTTCTGAAATTCCCTGAATTTTGTATGTGTTCCGGCGAAGTATTTATGGAGAAGAAAGAGTGAAACAGAGGTGGAAAAGAAGGAATTGGCAGCCAGCCAGACCTAGGCCTCAGAACCGCCTCTTTTAGGTTCCCACGGAAAACCGAACAACCCGAACCCAAAATAACCCAATTAAATTTAAGAGTTGATATTAAGGTGGTGATTAGGATGACTTGTAAAAATAATTTATTAATTTATTTTGGTGTGATAATAGTAATAAGTATTTTTTAAGTGTTTGGATAAATAATTTATATTGATGTCAAACTAGTAATAAAGAGTTTTTGAAGAAGTTAAAGTTTTCTGACTTATAATAAATTGATAAATGTTTTTATAAAAAAACATAAGTTGTTTCAAATAAACAATTCCAAACACTCAATTACACCACACCTATTAAAAAAATAAGCCCTACTAATAACATTAAATGGTTTAAAACTTTTAAAAAGTTTTCTCTCTTTCTCTCACTTTTTTTCTGTTTTTTAAACTAATAGATAATAATTATTATTAGTTTATATTAATTATAATTTTTATTTGTATTTGTATTATGTATTAATCAAATTTAAATCAATAAATTGGAAAGACAATAAGTCTTGTTATTTTTAAAAAATAATATATCATTTATTTTATAATTTTATCATTTTAATCATATGTATATAGTCATATAGTTTGTCTTTAAAAAATTCAAATGCAAATTCTTAATTTTTATTTTATCTATATTTTCATCGAATATATCATTAATCATTCTGCAACTTTAAAAACTCATAAAATAATCCATCATTTTTTTCGATTTTAAAACTTAAAAAGTAACTAATCAATTTTTATTTAAGTTTTGAATATTCAAATAATAATTTCATCAGTTTTCAACAATCGTTAAAAATTCAGATAATAACTCGTCGGTTTTAGTTAAAAATTCAAATATAAATTATTTTAAAGTGTATTATTTTTTTATAAAAAATAATATTGTAATAATAAAAATATATAGATTAAAAATTCTAAAAACATAAGCTTAGAGAATCAAAGCAAGCTTCCAACGGAGTAAAAAGGTCGTCAAAATCGACATAACAAACCACACTTCCACCAGCTACATGGTTTTGTTTCATTGCATGCTTTGGAATTAATCTTTAAAGAATTTGAGCGGTCAAAATATATTGGCTTAGTTTCAAGAAATTGTAAATGTCAATTACGTACATGTTATGGGTTACCATGTGCACGTGAACAGACATTATTTCAATGCAAGTCAATCTATTCCACTTGAATCAATTGACGGATTTTGAAGGAAACTTGATTTATCACCATATATATTTGTGGAAGATGATGATGTTTGTTGTGATAATGAAGTGCAAATGTTTACTGAGAACTTCAAAAAAAAAGTTGAGATCAATGAAGTCCAGTTTTCTAAGAAAAATAAGAGAGATAATCGTGCTTTGGACAACTCATATTCGTGAACCGACTGTTCATACAATAACTCGTGGTCATCCCTCATTGAAGAGTAAGGTTGTCAAAAAAAAATCGTGTCAACCCACCAACTCAAGAACCTCATAGGCATAGTTGTTCAAACGCGTCAACATTTATGGAGTTTGATGTTTTCGCAAATAATGAACAAGCGAGACATAGTTTATACTTTGATCAAAAAAATTATGCACATTCAACATTAATTAATTTTCAAATATTTTTCATCCTTACATTCTGCAGGTACGTAACGTAGTTCATGCAAGTTCATTTTTTTATCTAAATGTATTAATCAATTTTTAAATAATTTACATCTTTACATCACACAGGTACAAGATGTAAAAGGCGATGAAAACTGTGGATTTCGAGCGATAGTCCTTTGTCTCGGTCGCACGAAGATGAATGACCACTACTCGATATGATTTAATGGAGGAGTTAAACATGTACAATACAGAATATCTCGAGGTGTATGGCATTTAACTATGTCATCAGTTTTATAACTCCTTGAACTTCTTTGGATTGGACTCATTTGCACCAAATGAGCATTGGATGGATGTTTTTGAAACGGGTTTGTTGATTGATTCAAGATACGATGTGATACTACATTCTTTAACAGCTATAGGTATTCTGACATTTTTCTCACTTCGATCTAGTCCTCCATCGTGGTACGAACATGTTTTTACAATTGGGTACGTTAACGGTCATCAGTACGTCAAAATATCTTTGGCAGAAGGGCACCCGATGCCTTTTATCGTGCCAAATTGTTTTCATTTCAAATATGATTACGCAACCGCATGGGCTACTTCATACATTACTCAAATAAATAAGTATGAGCAATTGTTATCTAATAATCGTACTACAAAATTTATTTCACTTGATTGAGTTGTAATATATTCAGACTTTTTGTACTTTATTTGTTGATTTATCAATTAACTTATTTTGATGATCTTTTTGCATTAAATTATTTTATCTTTGTCGCTTTAAATATTTATTTAAAAAAATACATATATAAATTATTAATTAATTAAAACGTTAACAATACAATTATAAAAAATAAAAATAATTTCCGTATGTATATTATATGTATATTAGGGGCCGTTCATCAAACACTTACCCGTTAAGTGGTTATTTATATTAATTTAGAAATAATTAGTTGGCAAATTATAAAACATAAATTTAGAAAAATAAAATAAAAAATAATATTGGAAAAAGTAATAAAATATAAATTTATAACACATAAATTTTTGAAAAAAAATTAATGGAAAAAAATTTATTAGTTGGCTTTGACCTAAGAGATAGGAGGTGGTGCATTTTACTAATAGGGAGGGATGCATATATCCTCACTCTAAATTTAGGGTAAAATGCACCAATGTAATAAATTTTTAGTGAACCTTTTTTTTTTCCTCGGTTAATACAATAATGTTTCATTTATTCTTATTTTATACATATGTATTTTTTAAACGAGTTATTAACTTACATAACATCAGTTTATATTTATATGACATTCTTTTTAATTCCAAATCAGTTATGGCATGACATTTCTTTGTTCTATGTTACTAGTGTTTGGAACCATGCATTAGTCACAGTAACGATAATTTTTGTTGATCCTCTCTCTCAGTGATTTGATGATAATCATTTTTATCTTATATGAAGTATTTTATGTTTCTATCTTTCAGTTCCAGCGATCATCACTGAGTCTGTTCAGTGATCGCTGAGAACATGCATTGTAAATCCATCAGCGACAGCGATATTTCAAGAAGACAAAACTCACACCAAAGAACTTTCAACGAAAGTCGAAAACTGAAACTGAAGATTAGAGACTGCCGAGTACGTTATCTGAAACGATATTTAGTGATTACAACCTGGTCTACACATGTGTGAAGACTGCCTAAGCCTCAGCGAATGCTGAATAGACCTACAGGTTATTCCAACATTCAGTGATCAAAAGAAGCTTGTTGAGCACGATTGCTTTTGTCTTGTCCTTATACACACAAAGAACAAACCTATACCCTTTCTAAAGTATAGTACGGTACGGAGCCGATTAGTTGACTCTACTACCCACCAACTTTGTGAAAGGATGTCTGCCCATGAATAGACTTTTGTACTATTCACTGTAGCAAAGGACAAGTCTTTCTCTAAAGGCTTGACACGTGTTCTAACCCTACTACGTTGCATTAAATGTGCATTTAATGCAATGGGTATAAATAGATGTGTTATATCTCCATGCAGAAATAGTGATACTTACTCTTGAACCCTAACTTACGTTCACAAGTAAAAGAACATTCATCTAAGAACACTATACGCTTATCTTCAAAAGCAAGTTAGAATAGTTCTTACCCAGAAAGAACTAACATCCTTCTAAGTCTTTTACAACAAATATTTTCTCTATTTGCTAAGAACTAGTGTGTAACTTTAGATAAGTTTTATTTACCTTATCTTTCCGCAAACAATCTTGTAAAATCTGTGATTGATCTTTATTTATCAATATATATTTTAAATTTGAAAAGTTTACTGTATTTGTATTCATCCCCCCCTTCTACAAACTGTTATACACATCTTGTAGACCCTAACGGGACCAACAAGTAGTATCAGAGCAGTGTATTTTCTATTCTTGTTTTTTAGTTGTTTTCTGCATTATATTATCTCTTTCTCTAGATAATCTTACTGCTTTCAAATGGCTTGACAAAACACAAACACACACTTTCAAGACAATTACTTTCTTTCCAAACCACCCCGTTTTATCCGAGACAACTTTAGTCTTTGGAAAAATCGGATGTCCCTCTTTCTGGAAGGTGTGGATCCTGAAATTCTACACTATATAGAAAATGGACCATATGTTCCATATGTGTTGGTCCCGAAAGGGTCTACAAGATAAGACACAGTTCGTAGAAGGGGGGGGATGAATACAAACACAGAGTTTTCAAATTTAAAATATATATTGATAGAGAAGATCAATACAGATTTTACAAGATTGTTTGCGGAAAGATAAGGTAAAGAAAACCTATCTAAACA